CCCACGACGACGATAATGACATTTGATTATTTCGGAGGCAGAGCGCAGCTCCCTTTTCTCTCTCTCTCTCTCTCTATCCTCGATGCGAAATTCAATCGAGCGAACAAAGCGATTAATTAACGTTTGCGGCAGGTCGCGATTTTCTTTCGTTGCCAAAGGTGTAAAATAACGACGGAATTGGCGTTACTCTTGCACATCGTCGAACGGTAAACTCGAGAAAATGCCAATGGGGCGTCAACTTACGCTGACGCGCGCGTTGTTGCTTCGTTAAAGCGACGAAATAATTAGCGCGATTCGCTTTATTCAATCAAGTGGTTTTCTCCGTTTGTTTTACCGGGATATCAGCACAGCATTCGAGCATTAATTTACCGTTTCGAATTTAAATCATGAGGATCGCCGATCTATCGTTACACCCATTATCACCTTCCGCGTGATTTCTTTACCCTCTTTGACTAAAATGCTATGTCTATGGTATTTTTGTTTTAAACTGAAATATTATATTATAATACGAGAGTTCACTCCTACGGGATCTCTGTATATCAAATGACGCGAAATATCGAGTGAAAATGGCCGCGCTTTATCGAAATAAATTCGGAAAACGTATTTTATTTTCTCCCCCGAAATGAAACGCAAGTTACACGTTTGATGCAGTTCGCGCTGGAGAAAGTAACATTTCGATAATTGTGCCTGCGTCGTGAAAATTCATTTTTACTTGCAAACTATGATATCTGACAATGCCGTCAAAGTTTCCGATTTACCGATCTCGCGATGTGATTCATTATCGGACAGGTGCACTTCGATGTTGGACAAAGACGAAAGACTAACTAGAACAAAAAAGACGACGTCAAAATGATATCATTCACTTTGACGTTCATCTTGATCTTTATATGATTTTTTTGGTTCCACTTGGGACGTCTTTGTCCAACATCGAAATGCACTTGTCCGATACGCCGCATCGAACAACCGTGTTGTTCTCCTTCAGCTCGATTTGAATCACGAATCGAGGCCATTTACATCGCTTTCTTCCGCCATCGGTTTTAGTGCTCCTGCTTCTTCCGCATCGCACTTAATTCACCTTTGTTTAACGCGCGATTGGGAAAGCAGGTACCCTCATGGCCATCGCGCTCGTAGCCTCGTCCGATCAGGGCCTGACTATACTACTGACGAAATCACGTTTTGGATACTCCAACGAGAAAACTACATACGCGATATCGACACTCGCGTTATAACGGCACACTTGACACCGAGCTATTGCGTAATTCATGAGAAATTATTGTTTTACAAAAGCGCGAGGTTCTATCAGGGCCAACGTGACGTTTCCGCACCGCTGATATTCATAACAAGATCATAGAATTCCCCTACGTTTGCGTCGAATTAATTTAATCGCTTTGATTTTGGCTTTTTTTAAGATTTATGTCATTCAAGATTCAATCACGCCAATAAAATACATATCCCCGTTGGGATATGACGGGCGACAAAATTATATGCATGTGTCAATGGATTGATGTCGACTTTGTTTGCTAACGAATATATTTGATGGCGTATAATTACGTTACCTTTTTTACAAACCTTAATTAACGCCATTATATGCAGTGTATTATATGCATCTTGGATTTTCTCCAATTAAAAGTTAACTAAGTTAACTGGCTCACCGTTACATTAAATCGTTGTTGTAAGGAACTAAATAACCTGTCGCAAGGATAATAATCAATTTCAAAGTATCGCATATGCGACCTACTTTGAGCAGTGTTTTATAATTAAGTCTTGATTGTTTATGAAAATATTTAGTCTTCCGTATATATTGCAATAATTATATGTAGTACACAATATCGTTGCATCGTCAGATTTGGAAGAAAGATTTGCAATAATGAATTTTAATAAAATCTATATATCTGACAATAATAATAATAATAATAATAATAATAATCCCTATATGCGATAATAATTGTACGTAACAACAAATACAATATTACGTATAACAATGATAGTTCGCAATATATGTAACGATGATATAGCCCATGGTTTTATCGGGAGTCGAATTATTGGGAAGAGAGAACTTTCAGCCCACCTGCATTATTATCTTATAGTCTGCCAGTAATAATAACAACCCGGGATTGATTTAATTAGGGGCGGTGATTAAAACTGCATTTTCGCATGGAGGCCGGTTATCAATAATGCGCGTGCAGCGATCGGGGGGCGCGTAAAACAGGTGCATAAATATAACCGTTAACCGGCGCCACGCGTGTCGGTCCCGTGCGTGAATTAAATGAATTTAGGTGCACGAAGGGAGAATATTACCGAGAACAAATACGTCGGACGGGAAAAGCCGAGAGAGCGGCACAACCCCCGAGAACGTAGCGACGATGACGTTAAATCACTCGCGCGCAAGCAAGCAAGCAAGCACGTGGCAATTGTAGAAGGCGAAAATGACCAAGATGGAGTCCCGCACTCAATGCCGAGCTCCATTCCGAATTGTGTGCTCTCGCACACCGGAATTCGGTTAGCGGTAATGTAATCTGCCCGACCGAAGAGGAGGCCACGAACAGAAAGCGCGACGACCGACGACCGGACAGCAGGCGTATCGCGGTGTTTTGGTTCGCGATTAATATTAATTACGTGCGATTAATATTAATTTCGAATCGCGCGTAATCAAGCAAGGACCTGCCAAATGTACGTGTAAAATCCGGAACGATCGTAAATGTTTGACAAATTTTCACAAGACCGAAATCGCGTTTCGTCGACCTCGAGGGCCAGAGCGAGATTGGGAATAATTGATGGCTACGCTAATGAAGCTCGAACAATAGCGCTCGTCGTGCGAAATTTGGTCGCGCTCGAAAACTTTTTCACGTTGAACGCGACCACGTTGGAGGTTGTCGCGGAGTTCAGAATGCAATTTAACGTGTTTCAAGGCGTATAACTACGCCGGCATGTCGAGCTGCAATTGGCCCGAGAGACCAGGACCGAGAGATCAGTTTTCGCGCGACAAGCCCCAACTCGATATTCCCGAAGAAGTGACGCTCGCCGACAGGTCCGGGGATGACGGCGATACACGCGACAGCCGGAAGTTAGCGACGCCGTAGCGAAGGATCCCTTCCGACACGACCACCTCGTCGTCGTCCCTCCGCGTCGAAATTCCATACCGCGATCCGCGGATGAAAACTTTCGCCTGCCAACATAGTCTGATATTTCATTTTCCGCGTGCACGTGTGTGCGTCGCTGTGTGCGCGAAAACTCGATTTTTTTCAATTCGACAGGAAATTGAATTTTTGCGGCGAGACCGTAGTAAGGTCGTGGTTGCCCCCCGGAAAATAAGAGTGTAACAATCGAATTACAAGCAGCAGGAGATCGATGTTGATCGATAGCTGCATACTGGACTACTGCGTTTTTAAGTATTTAAGTTAATTTTTGTGATTAGTAATGTACGGTAAATCGATGATAAATTCCCGAAAAATTTCAGAAGTGAAGATACTAATTGTCTACCGAATTAAACTGAACATTTTATCGCACGCTAATGAGATATTCCGACGAGAGAAATGAGATTTTAATTTTAAATGCAAATATCTATAACGTTGTAATGTATGATTTATTACAGATTTATTACAGGTGATAAAGTCGATGGTAAAGTCAAATTAATGCAAAATCAAACTGTAAGGCATCGGGGCTCGGATTAATTAATCTATTTAAAAAAATTGCACGTTGCGTCTTTACTCTCTCGAGCCGGAAAGTAACTTCAGGCACGATTGCTATTGTAGATAGAATAAACAGTGCTGTTATCGTAGGGTAAATTGTTTCTTTGTAAGATCATCAGGAGCGAAATCGCCTGTAACAGCCGGCGTCCGTCGCTGCGTGTTCGTGGCTTTCGTATATCTTCGCGAATGCGATTAGCGAGCCTGGTACACTAATTGATGATAAAAGAACTCGCGCGTTCTTATTTTGCCTCGATGTTCAATTCCGACGCACTATTTTCCTCCATTAGTTCTTCCCTTGATTCGCTTGTCTTCGGTTTAATATAGACAATAGAAAGAAGAAAGTATGTAAGAAAAATAATCTTATCGATCTCGCCTGGAAAAAAAAACTCTCCCGGAAAAACTCAAAGGAGCTATAAATAATAGAAAACGGCAAAAATAATGGAGCACGAGAAACAGAATAGAATCTATGCAAATAATAAGGAAATCTTCATCGTTCGAGTGATCGAATAAACTCGACGCTATTTGCGAATATCGCAGGATTATCGCGGCAGTTTCGCATTATCGATTATCGAGGGACAGAACGATCAGTCCCAGTCTCTTAATTATTCCTTAATTGAATGCCATTTTCTACAACATTTTCCAATTCCCTTTGACACTTGTGAGCCGATGCGTTCTTGCGATATAAGTGGGCACCAATATCGGATCATTAAATGCTTTATAATGCAAGCGCGCGGACTGTCTACCCCCCGTTATCTACTTATCCCCGGGGTAAGGCGTAATTTTCATTCCCGTCGTAAGTTCTGAAGTAATGGAAACTTTAATGGAATTCAGCACCGCGTTTCCCCGCGCGCTTCCCCCGATAGAGTGACAAACGTCTCGTCAGGATTGGCGGTTCGCGTCGAATAAAAATAATTGAAAGCCATCGTTGCGTAACGGACTTTGCATTGAAAGAGTCAATGATGCCTTTCTTACGGCAATAATAAATTTTTGACTTTAACCTTATTTAAACTTACTGCCCGACGTAACGTTAACGACCGAGCTTAATAGGCTTCGAAATGAAATGAAAATAACGATAGATTAAAATTCCCTTGGACCGTAAATCCAAAATGCAAAATCATACGCGTATAATATGCACACATATCTCCTATTTTTTTTTTTATTGTACGTACATATTATTTTTTCTATCTTTTTACGCATGTTATATATTTGAGAAATATTTTTTTAATTTTTTACATACGTTATATTTTTTGCCGCATACTGTTCTCTGTAATCTCCGTAATTCCGATATTAAAAACACGAAAAAGTGCTCACCTCGCATCATACTGGATTCTAACGCGTCTTCCATCGTTATAGGCTTATCTCTTCTTTTCTGCCCTCCTCTCTCTTTCTCTCTCTCTCTCTCTTTCTTTGTGTCTTTCTTTTCTCCCTCCTCAGATTCTTTTCGACAACATCCCACAATAATCACGTGGCAAATCGGCCTTTCACGAGGGACGTCGAGCCTTTTCAAGTACGGACAGCACACCGATCATCCACACAACTCCCCCGAGAAATACAAAACGGCGCGTAAAACTCGTCGTCTTTATCTCTCGTGTGTTCGAGAGCGTTGCGTGCTTAGTGTCTCTCAGAGATTTTGAGTGCAGTGCGCGCATCGAGAAGGTAACGTTTAAGCTTAATCTTATTCTAGTCAGATTCTCGACTTCGACGACCGCCGTCGATCGGAGGTTGCTCTAGATTGAAATCGTCCGCGAAGCAAGTCCTCTCAGTTTCCGACTGACGAACACGACGTCGGAAAGGAAATTATTTCTTTCCAGAACAGGTGGCCCTGGAACCGGGATCAAGTTTTATCTTTCCGCTTATTACTCGTACATTTAGCGTTTTTCTTATCCGCGAGTCTCGCGGGACGTGGCCGGGGAAGAAGCGGAGTTTCGCTCTCCTATCCCGCGAGTATTGTTATTATTACAAGTCTTTCTCAAATGTGGGAAAGATACCCACGTCGAAAACCTTGAGATACCGCGTGCGGAGGAGTACAGCAAACCCACATGTTCGAGCGAGGATATATTCTTTCACCGAGGCTCTCAAGATTATTAGCCGTTTTCAGGATCTTTCGGTTTCCATCTGTTTTTCCAGAAAATTAAATAACATTCAACACATATCCGGAAATCTTCGTGCGGGCGCGATCGTCCGCTCGGGATCGTTTCATCTCTTCTCAACACCTCCTCTACCTTCCTCTACTTTCTTCTTATTTCCCGATGCGTTCGAATTCTGTTTGAAACTTACATTGTTTGCGATATCGCGATATCTCGGAACTTGGATTCAATTTTCATTAGACGAATGGAGGAACGCGCGTCGCGTCTTACGTCTAGGATTTCGCGTTTCTCTCCGAGCCTTTTCCCATTTTCCTTTTGTCGTCCTGTTTAATTTTAATTCGCTTTTTCGGAGACGCGTATCGCGCGCAATGTGAAACTCGTGTGCAATTCGATGCAGCTACTCGACTCCGCTTCGGCGTTTCCCTTTGGCCCGATTTTGAATTTAATCGACGCGAGATCGATCCCGATTATCGGTGCTCGGTTCCCTTCCTCGCGAAGTGTTCTCGAGGCTCGCTCTTAATGCTCGCAACACGCGTGTGTTCGCTTAATGCCCTTAATGCGCGTAGTCACGGACGTGCGTGCCAGCGTGCGACGATTATTGTCCTAAGCGCGCGATCCCAGCTTGGTCGCAGGACCAAGAAGACTTCTCCCTTGAGAGAGTTTTTTTCCACTTTTCCGAATCGAGTTTCTTTCCACCTTCTTTCCTGATTTCCGACCGATCGAAATCGACGTTACGTTTAATCTCGAGCCATTGTCTTCGCAACGAATTCTCACGTTCAATAGAGATCGAGCAGACCCGATTGATCCTCTCTCGTGAGACGTGGATTCTCTTTCAGGAAAACTCGCAAGCCCAACGAGGTCACTGGTCGCGGATCTCACGAACATTCGCCGTGCACTCCAATTGTCTTCGAGGATGCACCTCCGATCCGAGAGGAGCGAGCCGCACTTCGTTCGATCGATGATCGATTCGCTTCGCGCCCCTTCGAGAACGAAAGCGAAACCGACGTGGTTCCTCGGCCTCCTCGGCGATGAGGTAAAATGATTTTAAGCGGGGTGTTCGTGTCGAGGGTTCGTCGACCGGTCCGATCGAACCGGCCTTCCAGTGCAGAACGTGCGCGATACGCCTCACACGGATGCCGCGCGCCGACTGAGGTTGACTGACGATGCCGCGCGCCGTGTTCCACGCCGATTTCCATCGTCACGTGACGCGGTTGCTCCGTCGACGTCGCGACGCTCCGCGTCGCGATGCTCAGTGCCGCGACGCACAAGGCGGACCTCTCCGCTTTGCCAACCGCGAGAAATCAGCCCTAACACGATCGATATATTTATTGCTGATATTAAGTATTGACAGGCCTTCAACGGATATCGGTAAACTGTTGAAAGAGAGGATGAGTTTGCCGTTTAAGAGGGCGTGTTGTCCGCCCTTAAAGCTAGTAGAAATGACGCAGATGCTTTTCGAGAAATGAATCTAGATCGATGAACGATGAAAATAAAATTTTGCCTATCTCTGTATCGTTTTTAGCAATTTTTAACATTAAGTATATCTATATATCTAGATCTATAGATAAATTAATTCTCTCGGTATCTTTAGATTGATCCATTCCTATTAAATAAAATTATCATTTTTAAAATTATCATTTTTTCGCATTGAAATCTAAAAGTTGATGGACTAAAATTACAGAAATAGTGAAGTCTATTTTGATAATTAATTTTATTTTATTCAATTCAGAAATAAAAATTGAATTTGATAAAAAAATGTTTGTTTAAATCTTCGTTTGTTTAATCTAATTAAATCTAATTAATGTATGAATCACTAAAATTTATGTGGAATTGAAGTAGGCCAAAGTGAGGTAGCCGTTAAGATTGCAGAAGAATTGTGAAGAAAGCTGGTTTTATTCCGTTCATAACAAGCGCGTTATGCATTTTTCAATAGCACAGTTTAAGTCCGGGTCTTACGAGAATCGAGTTTAGGAGTACTGAATGGAGAAGAAATGCGATATTAAAAGAATAGAAGAGAATTGGTGAGGGGAGACTGTGCGAGAGAGAAAGAAATGACAAAAATAAGAATTATTACTCCGACGAAGCTATTATTTCGAGAGCTTCGAAAGTTTAATCATGCAAATTGGGACGATGTCCGTAAATCTAAAAAGAAGGATAAATCTGTCTACATCCAAGTTAAGTACAGAATGAGCCGAAGTAGTATAATTAAACTCAAGAAAATACGTAAATAACTGCAGAATGCTGTAAATGTCCATGTTTAAAAATATTTTTAATTATTTTATTATTTTATTTTAAATAAAAAATATATGTGTGGTGTACACGCACATTTTTTTTTTATACAAAATATGGTTATTATCTATATAATATTGTTGTTGATGTTGTTGTTGTTGTTGTTATTTATATATTTTTATATATATATATGTGTGTGTGTATATATATATATATATATATATATAGAATATTCGAATCTGACGTGAAATAATAAACACGTGTAATGCAAGACAATAGCTAATGATAGATACATGTGATTCGTTACGTGTCACTATTGTTCGTAACCGAGGAAATTGGCTGATTGAGCCGATAGTCGGTGGGATAATCGAAGTCCGGCTGGCAAATAACGGAAGCCTATCAATCAGCCTCGATATAATGTCCAGTGTATCCCTATTAAATGGCGGCGGCAGACGACATCGCGCGAGACCACAAAGTGGATCACAAAGACGCCACGGATACGACGAATTAAGCGGAGCAAAAGTCGAGAAAGTTGATTGGGGCCGAGTTTTAATTAAAAAGGGCGGAGAGTAAATGGTAGAGGGTGTACTGGTAAATGTACAGAGTGTTACGCTAACTCTTTATTAGAAGATCCATTTCGTCGACTTCAATATCGAAGCGTCCTTTCTTTCGACTTGATCCTGCTGAGAAATAAAAGAGACACCTCTCGACTTTTTTATGAGAAAAAAACGCGGATCGAACTACTAGAAATGCTTAAATGAGATGCATCGGAAATTGTTTTGTACATTTCTAGCAATCGTTAACCACATTACAAGTTCAACACATAGTATATACTTTTACTCGATTTTATATTTTATTAAAATATATTATATTAATAATATAGAATGTAAACTTTAATATATCTTGCTAATTATAATTAACATATGATGTATTGACGTTTTATAATATAACTGATATATAAGAATATTAATTATTATATTATTATTATAATTATATATATTAATTATATTATTATAAAAAAATCAATATAATATAATGAGAAAAGAGAGATGCCTTTAAAAATCTAGAGATAAAGGAAGAGACAAAAAGAAAAATAAAAGCCTAATAATGCTAGATGGAAATAAAATGAAAGAAAGCTAATATTGAAGAAAAATGAGGAAAGGAAATGCGAAAGAGTATGTAGAGAAGGAGAAGAAAACATAATATATTTTAAAGAGAATGCAAGACGACTAAAAATGAAGTGCAAGCGGAAGAGTTTCTAAAACAAGATGGAAAAGATTTGAAAATACTAAAAAAGATAAAAGACGAGAAGAAAAACGAAAGAAAAAAAAATGGAAAGAGAAAAATAAGATTAACAGAAAAAAATGGAGGACAAAAAAGAATAAAGGGAAAGATTAAAAGGATATAAAGAGAAGCGAAATACGTTTATAATAAAATGTTAGACGTCTAAAGATAAATATGTTTAATAATTTAAATACTAGTTTAAATATTTAAATACACATTAAATACACTAGTAAACAGTACAATTAGAGATAACGAAGACGATTTATTAATAAAATAAAATTTTTTTATTTAATCGCACTAACCAGGAATTTAATTCAAGAAAAGTTTTCTATTTCGAGAAGAAAAATTTACTCGAAGATGATTATGGAGTCTGTCAATAAAATTAAGATTTCGTAACACAGCTTTGCGTGTACTTGCAAGAGTTAGAAATAGAATTTACCGTGTTTTTATTACGTTCTTTCGTTATTGTAACAATTTAGAGAACGAAAAAAAATATATATCAACTTGAGATAACGACGTAGGCGTGTTTGATAAAGAATTATTGATGTTACGTAATTTACTTACGTCAATACGCGGATCATTAGAGTTACTAAATCCGGAAATACGCGCAAAATATTATACCGGGAAATGAGATAATAGTTAGATTTAACAACATTAGTAGATAGTTAGATTTAATAACATTATAACGGCAGTTATACCGTGAAGCAGGCTTTTGCTTTCACAAACTTTCGCATGAATCCGATTAACTTTGCACTTTTCGTTTCTTTTACGTTCGACTTGTTTTTCTCGTCGAGTCTCATATCGAGTACATCGCGTGCGAAAAAAAAAAACGAAATTGCAGATTACTTAACACCTGAAAAAGGATAGGGAAGTATGAGGAAGAATATCGCGAATTCCGCGGAAAACTTGACTCGGTCGGATGAGACAGGGATTTGTAGTCGAAATCCCGGCGTCGCGATTCGTCCAGGTTTCGTAATGAGATCGATACGATACAATATAGGATTGATTAAGTCCGGTTTTCATTCCAATGTGGAAACAGTAATCTCGTCGGCGTATAGAATACATTCTGGTGTAATTGCCATCGCGATGGCAATGGCATGGACCAATTGTATAATCCGCGTGTGATATAGTACCTATTAATTATTTCCATCAATGACTTCATGCACGATCGCGTTGATCTTTTCGCACAAAAATTAAATCCAGTGAGATGCACGCAGTGTTAATCAATAACTTTTAAAGAGTTTGACCAGAGCGTTTTTAACGCGATAAAAAAGAACGAGACACATATACATATGCGGAAGTAACAGTTTTATTTTTTATTATTTTTTTTTTATTATTATGTTGCTAATGAAAAGTACATCGATAAGTATTTGAAATTTGAGTGAATGTAAAAATTGTTTAGGCAATGATCAGAGAGCTTCTTTATCGGGATCGCTACGTAGGTAGAGTTTTTTTCAAAGAACTCTGCAAGTCTCATTTTGTTCGAAACATTCAAATCTCTCTTGTAACAGCAAGCAGAGACGCAAATCTAATACCGCCGAGTTCCCTTCCGCGATTAACAAACATGACGCCTCGCAGACGTGAGGGAGAATGCCGGTCGTGACCGAAAATCAGAAGTCGAGTATTTGCACGCGATACGTGATTTGAACGCGGAACGTCTATCCCGTGCAGATCCCTGCCTTTCCGTTTCCAAGTCAGACGACTGTATACACAGCTCCCGCGATCACTCGACTCCGATCTCGCCGCAATTTCCTAACGGACATTTCCTAACGAGTTTTCAAAACCTAACGAAATTCGACTAACTCAGCCAGTTAGTCAAGTTCAATTTTGCATTTGTATCAATCGTCCGTACCTTGCCCACGCATAAAATACCGCTTGTGTAAAGGTCTTTTAAATGCAAAAAGCGTGATGGACAACGCTTGGTGAAAATTAACATCTGTCTAGTGACCTTTATTGTACTTTTGAATTTTAGATTTAATTCTATTGATTCTATTAACTTTTATGATTATTTTAAAGGCCATTTTTCCATTAGTAGATAATACAAACGCGCGACGCACGCGCTATATATTTTTTTTAAACGGAAGGGACTAATAAAGGGAAGAAATTAATATAATACGATTAACTACACTATTAACCTTTTGATACACTGAAACAAGTTGAAATGATCTTTGTGATGACAGCCATTCACCAAGTTAACGCAATGAGAGAATCAATCGCGGAAAAGAGGCAACAATAAACTTTGAGAGATGCGGGTAATCGACTTTATATACTTTTTTATACCTCTATATACCTCTATATACCTTTTTAAAAAATGGAAATTAAAAAAGACTCAATCATAATTTAAATAATTTTATTAATATTTTATTGATACTTTAATAAAATTTATTTTATTATAAATTTGAAGCATGATTTATTTCGATATATTTAATTGCTTTAACCATTGCAAAAATTAAAAGACATGACTTCTAAATATCAAATCAAAATAAAAGAAGGCAAATAACGCGAGAAACATTTTAACATTTATTTAAAAATGTTAAATTTATTTATTGTATATTTTGTGTTAACTCTTTTATTGAAAAACATGAGCAGTTAGAAATCATTTTGTTTAAATAAAGAAACTTTTGTATGTCTAATTCCCAAGTGTATCACATAAAGAAAATTTTAGTTAAATTTATATGGAATTTATTTTATAATGAATATATTTATTTTATATTGGAAAAGCTAAATGTAATGGAAAAAGCTAAAGATATTTAATATTTATAGTTGTATAATATTTATAATATTTATAGTTGTATAATTTTTCAGTAAAATTTCGAAATTTTAGGAAAAAACATATTTATCAAATTAATAAAACTTAAAGTCGAGTAAATACTATTTGGCGTTCCAAAATCGTAGCTACGATTGCCTGGAGCAGAAATAGTTAACAAAATTCCTCCATCTAATTTAATAGCTTGAAATCACTGAAACTTTTGCTTATTAATGATTAATGTGTTAATTTCAGTTTCGAAATTCATCTTGCAAATAGATACAATTAAATGAACTTAATATTAAATTAGTCCATAATTCCTTTATTGAGGTTGAAATTATATTCCACTAAAGTATGAAATTTTGGAGAAAAGGTCAAATAATTGAGCTTTATTTCGTCGCATTTCTGACTTTTACCTGAAACAGCTTTCCATTTTTAAAAAAAACCTGTCTATCAAAGAAAAAAAGATTTAATTAATTGCGATCTTTCGTTGAAATCCGCAATTTTCAGTTCACTTCTAGGTTCATTGTGTTCTGTTACGGATAATGATGATTAATGCTTGCCCGCGCGACGTCCATTAGAATGGGATTAGGGGAAATGATGTAATGTACTCTGTATCTGACATCCCACGTTACTCTCAATATTCCACGACGAATAATTCAGAATTTTTGGAATTAATCCCGAGCGGCGCGCAGAAAGCGTGACTTGCGTCGCGCATACTTTACGCTCATGCGCAAAATCAATACCGTACACATTGCAAAAGGCACCATCGTATCGAAATCATACCGCTTTATTTTTTTTTATCGCTCAATCTTTATTATTTGCAAAAAAATTCGTATCTTTTAATTTTTTAAGACTATACATATTTCAAAAATTTTAAGTAAATTTTTTCGATTGAATTAATATTATTTCATTATTGTCATTATTCTACACACATACCAACATACAAGAGGAATTCTTTCAGATCCTAATTTCCTAATTTCAAAATAAACCTCTTGCAATTATTTATTCCAAGATTTAAACTTCCCGTTATACATGTACGAATTTAAATTTGTCAATCTTAAAAATCAAGACGCTCAAGACAAATTTAATTTTTTCTCATGGCACAATATCTTTACAATAAATACGATAGCTACGATAGCGAAGGATTTTATCCAGTAACAGAACGCTCGTTTCCTCTCGTTTCCATCCCGTTCGTATTGTTAATAATAGAGTTTGCACGTAGACGGTCCTCGCTTATCGAGTCGCCGGATACGGTCCTGGCGAGGCAGGTTGGTGGCGGACACGAAGAGGCACCTCTCGCCGTCACCCACGATGGGATGAAGTCGCGGTTTCTCTGTTTCGCTTGCCTTATCGCGCGACGCCACACTCGCGATTAACGCGCGTCACGCGTCATCGTCATCACCGTCGCCGCCGTCGCCGCCACTGCAATCGTCACCGTCGCCGTCGCCGTCGGCCGTATATCGCGAACGCATCTCGCGCCAGAGATATCACGATTCATAGGGGACACCCGGGTCAGACGCTTCTCCCCAAGGGTGGGCGGTGTCAGGTTAGGTTCCCGTCCAAGGGTGAGTCTGATAATTCGGGGTGTAAGCGCCGAATTATAATAATTACTAATTTACGTACTTTCGTTTGATTAAGTTTTCCGTTTCTTGTTAAGTGATTCGATAATTAGACGTGTATAAATAACGATGGCTATTTGACTCTGATTATCGAGGGATGCTGGTAGATAGACCTTACGTCTCTTCCGACAGTCATAGCTTTGTTTACGTTGCGCTTTTCCTGCTACGGTTTGCGCTCTTTGTCTTGCGTTCTTTTTTCTTTCCTTCTAAAAGTATCAGTGTAATTGAAGATCTGTATATATCAGAGAAATTTTTCTTTGGAAAAAAGTAAATTTTTTTTTTGTATTATTATAAGAATTCTTAGATTTTTTTTATTGATTATTTTTAAATACGTGAGATAAGATTGAATATAAATAGCACAAGGTCGAATTAATTTATTTATCTGTTTCAAATTATATTATTTGTTTATTGGCATCATTGACATTATACTGGCATATGTTAGATCGATATTCTTGAAAATTTGCCTTTTATAATTAATTAATATTTTATTTCTAATTATTTATTTTAAGTAGCATTGATGTCGAATGTTAATATTTTATTATTAATTTTAATAAATAAATAATGCATAAGTATACATATAATATAAAATAATTTTGATCATTGGAATCTTAATAAAAATTTTGAATATTTAAATTTCACGCCTCTTAAATTTTTTATTGTTTACACTGAGCCAAAATATATTTTAATTGTTTATTAAATCTATTTTTTTAAATCAATTTATAGTTTACATTAGATTTTAGAATAGAATTTTGTCTATAATTTTATGTGCTATATATTTTATAATATATACGAATATTTTAATATACATTTCATCTACATACATATTCTGATTCTTTAAACTTTTACTTTGTTTATATTACAAGCGGTATAAAATTCTAAATAGAACTGACTTCTGCATGAATTATAAATTTAAAATAAGTTTTAGGAGAAATATCGGTCAAAAAAGTAAGAATTTTAGTAGATATTCATAACAATTTATTGAAAATAGATATTTATTTACATTTTTATACAAATATTTCTTTTTCACGATGCGATTATAATTTCACAAAGAACTTGATTCTTTCATTCTTTGAGCGGCTTGCTTACGTACGATTGCAATCAGCGTGCAATCTAATTTGCAATTTCGTTCATTCCACACTTGTACGCATCTAGACCGCTTTGTACCTGCGAAAAGGGCGAGGTTCGCGAAACGCAGTGGTCCCGGTTTGTAGCTAGAAATTAATTCCAGCGGGACGGAAGTTTCACTTTGTGCTCACTTTATATGATTCGTGTCGGAATTTAGGATTCTGCTTATGATTCTATGTGTTGAAGGATATTTAAAGAATCAAAAATATATATATTCATATTTAAAATATGTATTAAAATGTATATGTAAAATACCTATGTACCAACATACAAGCATAAATAGCACATAAATTTTCAAATAGAATTCTGACGTGAATTATTTGAAGCGAGCAAAACCAAGGAATATTAATATAAATATAGTATTAATTTATAAATGAAACTGTTTCTGAACAATTTATTTTTAATAATGTATCTAGGCAAATATTGTTTAAATTTAATTATAGGAAATATTTCAAATATAAATATATCTATTTACTTATTTTAAATATTTCCCGATTTAATTGTTAAATAATTTCATAAATACAAAATTAATTTACACTATTCTTATTTTATATCAAGCACATTGTACTACTTCTTCTGAAACTGTGAGAATTAATCCTTTCAGTACTCACATATATATATATATCGTACATCCGTTTTCAATAGTTCTCGCCATATATTTCGGACTAGGCAGGATTTCGCATTCAAATATCATGAATACAGCTAAACTTAAATACGACCGTCTAATTCACGATATTCTGAGACGTTTACGTTTAGTAAACGAAATTACTAGATTTATTCTAAATTTAGAGAAAAATATTGAAAAATCTCTCTTTACATTTAGAAACTTTATTCAGCTCAATGCACACACTGAAATTTGACTAATCTCTGAAAAAATTGATCTGTGGAAAATTGTTTTGTTATTTTTACATATTGATACAGTATAGCGTTATTTTTACATATTGATACAGTATAGCGTCTTCAAAAATTTGCCAGTGGTTTCTATATTTGCATTCGCGTAATGAACGATGCGAAAACAAATTACAAATAAAAAGATGTATAAAAGATGAAAAACTATACGTGCGAGTATACACCAATATATTTGGTAGCCTAGATACATAGCGAGTGTTATGCGAGACTACGATGCGGGATGAAGGAGCCGGGCGTTCTTGTTTCGATAGAGTAACGAGAAAGCCGTCAAGCTGGCGAGCCTAACGAGCTGCGTGTCGACGATGATGGACGACGAGGAGCAGGAGGAGCTCCGCTGCACCGGCAGCGACGTCGAGATCGAGGAGTACACCGACACCGAGGAGTCGCCGTATGTCGCTTATCAAGCGGGCGGCGATAAGCTGTTCGATACCGATCGCGAAAACTGGCAGAGGCTCCGTTTCCTGGCCACCCTCGTGTCCGTCGCGGTATCAGTTACCGTCCTCGTTATCAGCTATCCGCTTTATCTCGAGAGCGTCGCCGCTGTCTCCAGCGCTTATACAGGTATGTGGCTTGCACACATACACGCACGTACGCACACATGCACGATGCCAGACGTTATACGGATCGCATCAGCGGAGGTGCACGTGATATCTAAATTAATGTGCAACGCTGCACCGCAGCAGTCCGACCGCCGCGGCTCTCATATAATTCCGGGATTTCAGGATTAGACGTCTCAAGGATCAATTTCTCGGGATTTCTGCAAACAATTTATTTATATCTCTCGAGAACGTTCGCCATATGCCGCAAGATGTGCGCGGCGTGTATGCGACTCTCTCTCGCGGACTCTCCCGTCATCTCCAAAATTACAGCTCGCGCCAGCCTGTGTAGTCACGCGCGAAAGAGGCAATCGAGTTACGCGAGGCGCTCTGTAATAATCCAGTGTGATCTAGTTTTTAAAAAGAAAAATTTGCGATTAGTATATATATATTTAGATTAAAAGCTGTAAAAAAAAAAGTGAGATCACGCTCAGAAATCACACTTAATTGTGTTTTCATATTTTCTTCTTGGATCTATTGATGGTTGATTTCGTTTATTTTTTAATAATATTGACTGAATAAAGAGAATGAGAATAAAAGTATCTATTTGAGCAAAATGGGGCCAAAATTAAACGCTACTCCAATTAGATTCTCATTAATAATTACTTCAACTAATATACCGACATTATCGCGATTTCGCTTAATTTAATAATCGCATGTACGCCCTCGTGATTCCCGCAGGACTCCTTTTCACTGCCCTGTGCTCCGCCTTCATCTTGGGGTTGGTGTACTTCGCCGTGGACAGGGTGTCGCCGCCGCCACCCTTAATACCGAACAGCATGCGGATCAAGATACCCCGCTGTGGTCTGATCAAAATAAGCACTCTGTACGCCCTCTCAGGAATCCTGATCACCCTGTCCCTTGATCGTAGTAGGGTGCTGTGCCATTTGCAGGATCCGATAAAGGGTATCACCCTCGTCTTCTCCCTCGTCTACTACTTCTTCTTTTGTCGGAAAAGTGAGTGTCTTAGAATTGAATATTGCGTGTCGCGTTGAACATTATCAATTTTTCTCATCATAATGAGAAAAATATCTTCGCGCTCGCGCTAATTACGATGGAAATTTGAAACAACGCAAGCGAACAAATGTAAAATTCAAAATAAATTTACATACAATTTTTATATTTCATATTTAGATACATAACTCACAAAATAAAAATAAAAGATATTTATGCAGAAAAATGAAGGATAATTTAAGGATTTATTAAATTGGATAATTTCGCGCTTTAAAGATGCACAAAGATTTCCCCGTAAATTGAAAGCTATTTTTTAAATTTATTTTTACGGACACGGATAGATTAAAACCTTTCAGGGAATATTTTTCTTGTTATTGTTCTGGGCGTATAATCTTTTCCTTAGATATTGCAGGCAGATTTATGGTGTGCCGCTCCTTCAAATGCTTTCAGTGATGAGTCTACAGCGAATATTCTCGAGCACGACTATAATAGTGGGTTTGTTCATAAGCGTCGATTACGGTCTCTGCGACGAGTTCCGTTGTCGAGGAAGGGAGGTTTCTTCGCATACTACCACCATGAGAGGAACTTGGGGTGTCCGGGTGATTTGGACATTCGTATACGTGGGTGCTCTCGCCGCTTTCGCCATGTTCTTCACCATGCTCGAACGTCATTACACCACTGGGGTAATTTATCATCGATATTTTCGTGCAACCCGCGAGCTCTTCGATGATATATTGGCGTAATTTTTATTAAAATCAACCTCGAAAGAGAATTTATAATTTTGACCTTCATTAGCGAAAGAGAAATTTGAATTAAACAGAAAAAGAAGATAAATGTTTTAAGATTTTTCATTCGCTCATTAATTATGTACTTTATGAAAAGAACTGCCAAATTTATTCTTTTGGCTTAATATTAATATCATTATAGCAATAGAAATATCACTAGATCTAGAAACGTGTCTTTTCTTCCAGTATTTGTAAACGAGTCATTTTTACGTTTGATGGATTGCTTTTTCCACTGTCAGATTTTCGTTTACGTCTTCAATCGATTTCGTTGAAGCGAGTGACGTTTGTGATCTCTCGTTTCCAGCAACAGAACATGTGCCAGATGTTGACGACGCAGCACAGCTCCTTCTTATACACGGTGTCCCGTTTGGTGTCCTCTCGCGATATTCGTCGTCGTGGATCCGAAGAGGAAGGTGGCCGATTGCTGCACGTGACCGATCCGGATCCCACGATAAAGCCGAAAACCTACCCCAAGCCACCGGTGATGCAAACCCTTTTTTATATACATGTCATCGCTTTCTTCGCCATTCTGGCGCTCTGCTGGCTCGACACTTTGCCTGGTATCGGCAGGGTGAGTGGTGTAAAAAGAGACATATCGTTTATCTACTCTTATCGACGACAAGTATATCTTCGAAAAATTTTTCTCAACCCAAAAGCTTTAGCAGCAGAAATTTTCGATTATAAATTATGAACTTGAGGTATCGAAGGTTGCAATAAAATTTATACTGAAAAAAAAGTTTCTCTTTTAAAAGATTGATTTAGTGCATTTTCGTTAAATTTTTTATCGTAGATTTTAATTCGGAATTTTAAATGCTTTAGAACTCTTAGAAGAAAAAATAAACGTAGACGTTCCATCAGATCTTTTACTCAATATTTTTTTAATATTTAACTATAAATGCGCATATTAATATCATTTATACTTTTAAGAATTGGAAATATTATTTTTAATGATATTTTAATCGATTGATTAATATACTTTTGATAGGTAAACAAATTAAAATGATTAGACAAATAGTATGATTTTTAAGTTAATGGAATTATGAATTTATAAATTTAAGCAAATATTAAATATTATTTTATAATACATAATTTATTAAGAATTTTTTGTTTCTTTTTTTTGTAAAAAAATTTTTTAATTTCCAAATTCTGTCTTAAAATTCATTATTAGCGACTCAAAAAATATATAAATACAAATAAAAATTTGTTTAATATTACCCCTTAAAGAAATCATGACGTTTCAGGATTTGTCACCCGTGGAACTTTATCGCACCGTCGAGCGCGGATTGATGTGCCACTTTAAAAGCGGCAAACCATGCGCGAACGTTTCCAGCCACGGATGGACCTTTTTGTTCGCGTACATTGTCTTCTCGATCTCGATCCTCAACTTCCTGTCGTTGTGCGAAAGTGCGGTGTTCAGCGTGGCCACCGCGACCGTGTCGCTCCCTCTGTCTGGTATCTGGTGGAGTATTTACAGGATGGACGTCAGTTTACACGGGGGTAAATATGTGGAGCATGAAACGTACCTTCAGCTTTAATTTTGCAATAATTTGCCATATGCGTGACATAAATATTAAAGCAGATAATAAACATAAAAGCAGAACTTAACACTATAGAAAAATAAATGAATCAGATAAAATTGATGAAAATTTATTTTCCAAAGTTGCGAATAAAATTTCTGAAAATTAGTTATTTAGCAGAAATAAATTTGTTTCAATATTTAAATTAAATTAATTTGCTTAAATTTATTCGTTTATACGAAGATTCTAAATCAGGCATCCTCTTTGAATTCTCCATTTCAAAGAGTTTGCACTAATTTTTACACTCTGCCGCGAATTTATATTTCCTAGCGTCGCGCGTTAATTTCTCACAAATCTCACTATGTTCTTGATCGATCGATCGGTAATTCGACTACAGTAGCCGAAGTTCTGAGGAAAATGTTGAAACAGGTTCCTCCATCTCCTGGTCGCCAGGGGTGACGGGCGAGCTGATCTGCGCCCTGCTCGGTCTTCCTGTCGTGCTGCTCGGTCTGGGCCTGCTCGTCAGATCGCACTTCAGAGACACCCAGCTTCCTTATCAAACCATCCAGCCACCCGACATCCAGCCACACGAGACCTGTCACAGATGAATCTCTCTATAGCACTTCGTCTGGTCTCGCAACGAGACCCGCACCCCGTGCGACGACCCATGGAAATAAATTCTGATCGGTTCGACGGGTGCGACGAATGAGCTCATCGCCCTTCACGAATCGATCGGAACGAACGACGTTACGAGAAACAAATTTCACCGAGCCGGAATAATAATGTTATTGTTGTACACTTGACAGATATATTTTGTCGACTGTTCTCAGATTGCACCCGACGCTCTCTTCCTTCGACCGCGAAGTAAACCAGAAGGTTTTTACCAAGGTAAAATGAGATCTTTGATTCAGCCATATGCGTACGTTCCGGCGATTTACGTGCGAATTACATGTGAATTACATGTGATAAATGTGGCCAGCGTCAGTTAACTCTGACCGTAATTTAACTAGATTATATTTCCTTTTAGAAATACAATTAGGAAAATAATGGTGGAATTGATTGAATTCCACTAAGGAGGATAATTAATTTAATTTAAAACGATTTTTACCGCATTTTTAATCGAATCAAATATTCATTAGCAGCATAAATTTGGCGGCAATATAATTTAGTTGGGATTACATCAACGTAATACGAATTATCGATATGGTCATCGTGAAAGTTAAATTAGGATCAAAATTAGCTGACGACGTAGTAAAAGAGACTCGGCCAAACGTTTCCGGACGGCATTTATTGTTTTAGACGCAATTTATGCGCGCGCACGCCCTTAAATTCATTTCCCCGAGCGCGGGGAAACGAGCTCGTGGCGAGCGCGCGCGCGCACATTTGTGATAAGAAAGAGCGGCAATATCAGTAACTATCGCTATGAGAAAAGAAGAAAGTTGCGGCAGTCGCGCGGGAAGGAAGGAGAAAGAAAGCGATCAATGTTTCCTACGTATGTTGCCAAATGCGAACGTCCGCGTCGCGAACGTCGTCACGAATGCGCGCGCGACAACGTTATAGCCGATTTATATTTTATTTTGATAACGAGATGTTTTATATATTTTTCCGAAGAAGTTCAAATTACACGTGTGAGAAGCGGGGCAGAGAGAGAGGAAGGGAGAGAGAGAGAAAAAGTAGGCGTTCTTCACAGCTGCAAATCTGCGTGCACAGGAGCTCTTCAGTTAAGAGCATTTCACTTTTGGTTATCGAATTTTTAGGCAACTCGAATTTTTAGGCAACTTAAACGTTTTTTATTTAAACGTATTAATTATTATTGCTAGCATTTCTTTCTTGGTATCTAACCTATTTCTCTAAAAATAAATCACAAGCACGTACGTATTGATTTTGAGAGAAAATTTCATTGTATATAAGATTTGCCTTTTTATGTTCTCAATAATTTTAGATTTTCTACCAACAATTTCTGTTTATTACAAATTGTTAGTTGATAATATATTTTACATTAACATTTTTCTCGAAATGCTCAAAGTGATATTTTATTTTTCTTTTTATGTTTTTCTTGATTGTCAGATAAGAGTGATTTTTACTTCATGAAGCTACATTAATCAATTGTCTTCTTATAAATTAGAGATGTTAATTTAATTTAGTAAATCAATTAGAACTGATTTAATTCAATTTAACTAATGAAATAATCATTTCTCCGAGACCGAATACCAGTCGAATAGATTAATCTTCATTTCCACGGGAGGATTTGCCGAGGGAGGTTTATCGAGATATCGTCGAGTAGTCGTAGGGAAGTGAATTCGGAGATTTCCTCGGTAAGATTAAATCCTAGAAAGTCGATTCGCGCATCGGCAGCAGCATTCGCAGTCCTGTGCACACGGATTTGGACGACTGCGCTTCGCCAAAGGAAGAAAAGGCCTGCGGCGGAAGCTACCCGTTAACGGCTGCAGTCGCGGTTTGCAGCTTTTACGTACGGGAATATTAAAGTAATAAGCGAGCGACTGAGATACGCGTACGTGTGTATGAGTGTGTGATATCCTTTTACTACGTTCCGCTAAACGATAGACATTACTCTATCAGCAACTTGAGCGCACAAACTGTTACGAACTAGTTGGACCCTGGCCGCGCGCGGTTAACTCGCGTTCGCCCCGTATCAGCATGTAAAACTCCTCGCGCGTCCCCGGAAGTTTTCAAATAGCTTTAACCGTTCGTTTACGCGCCGTTAGCAAAAAAACCCCTCCCGCCAAGGCGTGTCTTCCTCCTCGCTGAAAGAGTGCCAATTACGCGTGACCACGTCCGCGCCATCGATTTTTATGTTCGCAAAGAGCAGTCTTGGAACTTGTATCTCTGACATTTACATGTAGAAAATTGCATCGGCATTTACTTTGCGATCTTGAATCTTTTACTATTTACTTATTGCTAGTTTTTTATTGCCAAATTTCTATATTTATATTTTGTTTGCAACAAGTATCGTTAATTTTTGTCTTCTTTTTTTTTGCATCTTCTTGATTGCGACAGACACGTGATTTTTATTTTATTGATTGATCAGTACTTGTTTCACAAAAAATGTATTTTTATAATTTTCTGCTTTTTTTCTATTTATTAATTTTATTTTTATTCTTCTTTGACAAAATGTGTGCGTTAGTTACATTTTTGCGAAACTTTATACTCCCTGACTGTGTACTCCTCCTTCTTCCCGAAGTGTGAAATTATTAAATAATAATCAAACTTGTCTGAAAGAACAAAAAGCAAAATCAAAAGTTCAAAAGCGGCTCAGAGCAATCTCACAGAATGAGCGAAAAGAATATTTGTGCCAAAACTCAGGAGTCGCCCGCGACTCGACTTAAGCTAAGTATTCCACGCGTTTACATAGTGGTCACATTACTACTTTGAAATAACAAATAATAATGGTAATGATGAGATAATAACAATAGTAATAATATGTAAGTGTTTATGTCGTTATTTATGTCAGGTGTCGAATTGCGACACGCAGCGTAGCTCGTTGACAGCGATTACTGAATTCAGACAGTAAGTTAAGTAGACGGTAAGTCAGAGGAAGATATTAACTTTGTTGGAAGTGCGTCAATATCGTATTCTATACGGGAAGGAAGGCAGCTATACGTCCACAATTTTTTACAATAGTAGCAGTAATAGCGAAGCGTTTTAAGGGAAAATAAATAATTAACTAACGTCGCTGACTGAGTGCAACGATAATAAAATTAGTACGCCATTCTCTCCCTGTTGCAGTCAGTAGCTTCGTCGATAAATCGACTATCGCTGAATGTTATAGTAGTAGCCCTCATAACGAAGTTGATATTCTCTTGTGCTGTGTCTAACATAAATATAATCAATCGAGGCTTTGGCGCGGGGAAAAAAACTGCGTGAACCGGTTTACGAATTCTTTTTCAGCAGAAAATAAATGATTTTAGCATCTTAAGAAATCTATTGGCACCCACAAATGCGAATTTGTACAAAATTAGTATCCGGTTGAAGCTATCAGAATTCAATTTAAACCAACAAGATTTTTGACTAATTAAAACAAATTTCTAATTAATTTAAATAAAAATCTGATAATTTCAATCGGAATTTTTGACTTGTCCATATTTAATCAGGATTTCTTTCCGAATATAGTTTCTCCACTTTCAGAGAGTAACTTTCGCGAAATTCAAATGTAATTTCCTACGGTGCCAAAGTCCTCAATTTTAAACATGTACAAGTTTATGCATACTGTACTTTCATATATGTATTTGTTAATTCTTGAATGAATATGAGCGGCGTATAGTATAGAGATACAATTTATTTATAGATGCCAATATATACATCGCACAATTAATACTCTATATAGATACAACCAAGAAGGAATTGAAGTGCAATTTGAAAAATTGCTAGACTCAATGTTCCCCCGTCTTTATCTGATTCCGGTGACGAGACTGAAACGAAAATGTTGAACTTGCGCACTTGATGATAAATAAATGTTGAAATGCAATAATTACATTAACTTCTCCTTGACAAGGCTCCGTACAGAAGCATGCTCAATCGGTTTTACGATAAATATTATTTCTGATTTTGATATACTCCATTGTAATGCAAATCGATTTCGCTTCCGTCTCTTTGGTACACGTCGGGTCAAGTAAAATCGTTTAGTAAATCGCAAGAAATTAAAAAAGATTGTAATTATTCCACAAATTGATTAATAATGCATTTTGCAAAAATGCTAAATCATTACGCTTCTGTAATGCTTGTTGCCAAGTTTTTACAAAAATTGATCTACAAGAATTCTTATATCTTTGATTTTTTTTGTATCAGAAAAATATGATATACAAAAATCCTCTTTCACAAGAAAACAAAAAATGTAGTATTTAGATATTTATTCATCAATAATTTTTTTTCCAGTAGTAACAAGTGTAACCGTTTTTATTCGTAATGTTTTAAAATTATTAACATTTGCATATAATATGAGGACTTTTTTGTGACTAATATAAAAATGTTACACTAAGCGTCACTAAATGAGAATTAAGGAATGGAATAGCAAGTTTTGACAATACCGACAATGTCAAAATGAGAGCAGACGATCGTACTGCATTCCCTTCAGATTTCAACGCTTTAACGCGATTTTATTAATAATAATAATTATATACTGAATGTCTTCCCGATAAAGCATCGCGCAAAGTTCCGATCGTGAAGCCTTTAGAGAAAAGATACTCGTGTTATCTTTGAAAAGAAAACATAGTAATTCATTGATGTGGTAATTAACTAACAGTTTTTCGAATATTGTGAATAAGTGATAGACCAATTATTTCTACAAAATGATTCCGTCGTCGGCTATCATAAACATGTTAACATCCGCGAAAATGCGGAAGCTATGTTGCATTATTTTGTATATGATTGTTATCATCTTGAATCGAAGTACCTGTAGGCGTAATCGCGATAATCGCGGGCTCGATCGAGACGTTGCGAATTATCGAGGATTATATACACTACTTGTCGTCCAATATTTCGCTTGAAATTAGTAATGATGCACATCGCATCGCAGGATTTGTGAAAGGTGATATATATATATATATATATATATAGGAACGAAACCTTGTTCAGAATTGTGATGCCGCCCCCGCCGTATCGCCGTTGTGAGCGTTCCGTTCATGAGTAATATATAATATATTAAATGTGCTAATATACACACACACACATATATATATATATATACTTATGTAAAAAATCATTGTTATATCTTTTCTCCTTGTATCTTTTAATCCGAAAAATTCTTCAGTTACAATTAATTTTGTCAATGTCAACTAGGAATAAATTGGTCAATTCTTTTTCAGCCTATGTATAATTTCAGCACACTGTAAAAAAGTGTGTAAAATTATGTGAACAACAAACATAAAAATTATATTTATAATGGAAATGTATACGAGAGATAACGAAGAGATAACAATTTTTATACTTCTATCGTTTGTGCAATTTTACATATTCAGAAGAAATGAGTTATACAAAAGAATGAACAATGTTTTTAAAATTACCAAAGACAATTTTCAATACATTTTTAACAAAGTAGTGAACACAGTAGCGTTGTTTCCGCTACTTAATGCATAGATATAATAAATATCTTACAATCCACAGTGTCGATTATTCAGCAGCTAATTTCAATGCTAGCTTGTTAAATTGATTAATGTGCTCATATGTAACGTTACTATTTATATCATTTTGTATAATATAACATTATATCAACAGTATTACGACGTGCTGCCAATTATTCTTCCGCAACACGTGCTACATAACTAAACTGTAACCTTTCTCTATTTCTTCATATTTAATGTTTTAGACATCGCTCTTATTTTGATATAAAAGCGAACGATTTATGTAAAAAAAAAAGTGACGTCATCAGAGCTTACGAGCGACTAACTTGGCCGTCTTGTGCAGATGACCTATTCTGTCAGACATCTTCTTGCCACCGCGTACGTAATCTTCATACCGTACCTCGACAAGCGTTTCGAAGTTCAGCTTGTCCATGATTCGTTGGCTGAATGTCGAAGCGGCGACGGCGAAGACCACTTCCGGTCGCACGTGCTCGTTGACGATTTCGTCGGTTACGCAGATCTGCTTCAATTTCCTGGCGCGCAATCCTCGTGCGACCTCGAGACTTTTTTCGGTGATCTCCAGACCGATCCCGCGGTCCTGAGACTCCGGATGCGTGCCTATGTAGAAGATTTCCATGGCACCCCGTGCATTATATTTCTGGAAGACGTCTACTCGCGATTCTATCTGATAACGAAAGCAATGTGAATCAGCATTGTTGGCGAGCGATAAGCTCGCTCGAATCTACTGCATGCAGTTCTTAGATTAAGCGATTAAAAGTGATTTTCTGGATTGGATTTTTCAGAAAAAGCGAGAGAAAGAAAGAGTGCGTTTTTTTTTCCAACCATACATTTTATAAAAAATTTTATAAAGAAGATGAACTAAATTTTTATTATATTTTTTTCTGTGATTTAAAATTTTAGGAATATCAAAAGTGAAGAAATTAATGTTTTAGAGCGAATATTTCAAATTCGATTGATAATACGAAAGAAGAATCGAGAACGGTAACGAAAAGTCCTTCAAATAAAACGTGCAAACCTTTAGAAGATTAATTAATAGTACAGGCAGGAATCGCGATAGCTGCGAAACTTATCGTTATTTGCGAAAGAATTTTATGAGGTAAAAGGAAAACTAGAGCACTTTTATTGACATTGTTGATTGCAGCCCGTATAAAATGATATAAATCACAAACTCACGTCGTCGATGAATTCAATCAGATCCCGGCACGAGCGATGCTTGATGTTATTTTCTACAAAAAATGCAAAGGGGTCCGTTTCCTCGGGCTGAGGTGGTGTCTGAAAATATAAATAAAATTCCTTCGAAGATCAATATAAATCGGCAATTAATTTTCTTTCTCATTTTCAATCATCTTTTGCATTTATTGTTTACAGAGCAAAAAAAGTGAAACGGAATATCTTCTTTATCTAATCGTCTTTAAAAACGCCGATATTTTCTATAATATTTCAATCACTTCTGAATAATTGAAAGACCTCGATAAATCTACCAATCTATTAATCGAATTAATCAAAATTGACGCGAATCGTTAATACGCAAAAGCGGACGGAATTGTGATGACAATTTGTTTACCAGACGATCGTCATCAAAGATAAAATCTGCGATGTGTGCCAGAAATAAAGAAACGATGACTCGTATCGATTATTTATAATCGGTGTTTAAGGCTGCGCGTAATTTTTAATACTTGCACACAACTTGTTGAACGCCACGGCGACTACTCGATCCGATCGATCGATCGCGATCACCGTGCAGCCATCCTTAATGACCTCCCTGAAGACCAGTTGCATCTCTTCGGAGGCGCCGAAATCCTCGTACATGCCCACACCGATCGCGATGCACTCCTGCCGCATGGAAAGCTGTTGCACGATCAGGGCATCCTCAATTCTGTCGTCGGTGAGGAGCCTGAACTCGATGGCGCCCGTCCGATCGGTCCCGAGGCAGACAGGCATGACGCGTCCTAGGGATTCGCCTGGAAGAAACGCTACGGCATCGCTATAGCTGATCGATACACGCGCAAGTTTATCACATCCGTCTTGCGCATCCTGTACCGCTCTCTTTTTCTCCTATCAAGCGCGTATCGAATTCGAGGAGCGCGAGAAACGGAAAGAGATTATTTAATCGAATTTGCTTCTTGACGCTTCTGAAGAAAGAAGCGGATTCTTAAATCAAGCTTTTATCGTGCGCGTAATTTTTTTTGAGTATAAACAATTTAATTTGGGACATTTGCCGATTGCTAATTAAAAGATAGAAGTAGAAATTGTAAAAGAAAAAAATCGTTACAGAAATATATCTGCAGACTAAGCGTTTCACTATTACACTTTTTTATAATGTTCAACTATTCCAACTTGTGGCAGATTTTGCAACTCCTGAAACGCACGTTTGATATGGTATATATATATATATATATATATATATATATATATATATATATATATAT